ATTCACTTTTTTACTATACAAAACAGAATGCATACCACAGTCAAAGTAATCAGTCTTATATTAATTTACAAGTAAATTTTGCTATGAAATATGTTTTTAGAGACTTAATTGTAATTGTGCTATATATAAAAGCTGAGTATTATTATGAAACAAGGATAATTTTTTTTAAATTGATAAAATACAAGGCAACAACAAATAAGTCAAAAATGATGTAGCAATTGACCAGAGTATGTTTTTGTTGTTGTTTTATTTTCTCTCAAATAATGTAATCCTATAATCAGGAAGGAAAGAAAAGAAAAGAAAATGATCCTTCTATGTGGGGAAAACTACCAGTTTGTGAAACGATATCATTTATTTAATTAATTAATTTGATAGGAGAAGAGCTTTCAAACCAAGCCATGTGAACCAGTGCTATCCGATGCTTAAAGCCGCTGCCCCTGTGTTTACAACTCCATCACAGTAGTGTATAAAGCTACTGCCAACTCCCTTCCCATATTCCATTTCAAATCCTGCTCCTTAATCAAAAGATCATCGTGCTTATATAAATGTACCCACTAGTAGCAGCTATACGGTGTACCAAATACCAAGCCACAACATTTTGAAGAACTCCAAACTCTCTCACCTGCCATCCAAGCTCTTTTGCCACATTTTAGTACATGTATATTTATATGTACACAATTTATGCCATGTATGTTCATTATGGGGTCCCTTTTGCAATTGAACATTCCACAGAAACCATACATCTATAATTGTCATCAATATTATATACAAATTATTTTGCCTGAACAACAACAAATGTTGTTGTTGTTGTTTTATTGTTATTGGCGTGTATCATTCATCAACAACGGTTGATGGGGACAAAGTCTTATGCACATTTGGATTTGTGATTGATTTTTGATTGATTGATTTTACATTTTACATGTAGATGTATGATATGAGAAGTCATGCATGGACAACAAACTCACCCTATCTCCCATGGGTTTTCCACTGATTTGTTGTGACAGATTTATTGTATTGAAAAAAAAAATACACAAACAACCAAAGTAACAAAATTGAGGGGAAACATCACCCCTTACATGTACCTCCCTTGGGTCATACTTTCCCTTGTTTGTTTGTTTTTTAGTAAGAAAAGGAATGTGTCAATATTTGTGTTCGTTTAATACCGTGGCAATGATGTGACCATCAAATCAGTTGTTGCATGTTTAATGTAATGTTCAATTTGGTACAGTTATACATGTAGATGTACATGTAGATGATTGCAGTGCATGGTTACTGGAGATAATGTTTATAATAAAGCATGTCTTTTAGGGTGAGATAGATAGAAATTGTTGGATGCTGAATATTTATGTCACATTTTGATAACCAAGCATCTGCACCAGTTGATTTCTATGTGATAATGACTTAGTTTGTAGAGGTGTCATAGTCAAGTGGTTTAAAGCAGCTGACTTGAAATGCAAAGGTCATGGGTTCAATACCTGACACAACACTAATATACCTTGACAACGTGTTAATCTATATTTGCCACTCCGTACCCAGGAGAGAAAAGGGGACCTGGTAGGATGAGGAAAAACCTTTGTGTTAGTAATTCTCATATGCCTGCACGGTAGCCATATGGTAGGAATACTCCCCGGGGAGTGGAGATGGTGAACATTGTGCATGAATGAATATGTCGGTGCACCTTCATGTATATTGCACTACCCTTCCCTACATTCAAAACAGATCACCAACAGTGCACATGTCGTATACACGTACATCATTGTACATTACCATCAATATGTATTCCCACCTTTCCTAGTTTAATACATGTACCCTCTCTATCCACTTCCTACATGTATATGCACACCAGTATCATACCCATTACCCCTTCCCACATTATCCCCTGTAGCCTACTGATGCCATAAAGGCTTGTTCAGACATACATGTAGCGCAGCAAAACCGCAACATTTTTTTTCTTAATGATGACTTAAAGTGTACTACGCATCACGTTTCTGTATCGTATAAGACAGAGCTCCGTGATGCAATAAATTTGCACGTTTTACAAAACGTGCGGCGGTTTTATACCGTGCGATGTCTGAACGAGCCTTAATTAAGACACACCTTGACCCACACTAACCCGTCACCTTAGCTCGTTCACACACGCCCCAATGTATACCTTGCTCATGCTGTTCCTTATAATATCGTTTCTTCATTATGTATATTGTGTGATCTATAGAGAAATATGTATAAGTTTGATCATCAATGAAGGTACATGTTAAAATGTAATCAGAGTGTTGGTAAAAGGTACCTTGGAGATTTGTACGATGTCGTTATCTCTTTAATACAGACATGGGGCCTGTTTCACTGAGCCTTTTTTCAATGACAAATGACAAAAATCAGTGACAAATCTGCTGATAACCAATCAGAAGCATGGATTTCAGTAGCTTATAACAAAACCTGTCATTTGTCACTGATGACAAGTTTTGTGAAACGCCCCCTGTATAGTTTAAAACAATTCAAGTCGGTTTATTCTGAAGCACTCCAAAGGTAGGGTAGAATTCATGCATTTAGTAATGATTTGAGGTTGCAATGAAAGACACACCTCATTAAGAAAAGAAGCGTCAAATTTATTCAAAACATGTGAAAAATGAAACTCGAATGCGCTAGCCATGCTTGGAACACAAGATTAAGGTTTTGAGCATGGAAAGGAAGCCAAACGTTTCTGCTTGCTGCAGTTGGCTGATGCTCTCCATTGTGTAAAGATTCCTGCCTCAAAGCTTGTGAATGTAGGAGAAAAATGGTACCTGACTGATGTTTTACCTGGCTGCTAAGATACAGTGTAGCATTTGTATGCTCGTAAGTATTAGCAACCAGGGCACTGACGGCTTTAAGTCCTCTCCGAGGGACTTGGTAACCAGGATTAATGTCTTTCCAAAGGGCACTAGTGCTTCGACTTGGTCTCGAACTTGTGATGTCCTGATTACATAACCACTGCCCCACCACTGATATGAGCCATCGCGCTTCCTAGGGAAGGATTAAAGGTAAAGACCAGTTATGGTCATGCGATTGCATTGTGAAAGAAACGTTGTGGAATCGATCAGAAAAGGTTGATTATCTAGCATCTAGCATCTGCAAGGTTCTGGAATCATCAAAATGATAAGAAATTTGGCCCATTCTTCGTAAAGTTACAAGCACTTTACACAGAAAGATGTATATGGGACTACCCTATATCTCTCACAGACCTTGAGAGAAACAAATTTACCAAATATATGAATTAGTAGGCGGTTTCCCGGCAAATTTTTTATCATCATGTATTAGTCAAAACATATTCTTTCACATGATTGGTAATGAGAGCTTCCATTTCATTTTTTGAAATTGGGGCGTTTCCAATACTGGTCTTTACCTTTAAGAGTTTTTCTTTGCTGGAGCCCGACTACAACATCATACATCTTGAGGCATTGCAGTTTCTCTGCTTCTTTAAAGACAGTCAACACTACTTGGCCAGAAGGGATTAGACCACACAGCGAGGTCACTGACAGGTGGTTATCTCATCAAATCAGCTCTCAACTAACATAAGAAAAAGAGGATCATGGGGGACCAACAGGCACCGATTGGGGAAGTTTTCTATATAGAGGGAGCAAGTACTGTAGCTACAAGTAGGACAGTGGGGCTTTAAATGGTTTATATGTGGTAAACCTGGCTAGGGAAGGATCCAGAGTTTTTCTTTGCTGGAGCCAGACTACAACATCGTAGCATCTTGAGGCATTACCTCTGCTTCTTGAAATAGTTCCTGTCGCAAACCTCACGGAGGAAAGGTTCTTTGTCAATGAAACTTTGACCATCGTTGCACCTTGGGTAGAAGAAAGATATCACGAACTACTACTACCCAGAGGCAACTTGTCTCAAGACTGCAACATACTTGGAGCAGGATCCAGTGACTTTAGTGATGGGAGTCGAACTACAAAGTCATGTCACCGTGATATCTTATCTCTGCCCCTCGAAGCGGGTCTTTTGTCAAAGCCTGTGGTTTTTGGATCTGTACCACTAAAACTCTGACTCGCATTTGATACTCATCTGAGGCTATCATAATCACTTGATGGTGGAGAAGCCGATGGTGGAGAAGCCGATGACTGAATTCACACTTACATTTGTGCCAGGATCAATAGACCCCTAGGAAAAGGAGATGGTGCATATGACAATGTGTCAGATCTAGGGACCGGATACAATCCTCGACTTCAGCATTAGGCCAGCATTGCAGAGCTAATTAATGATATGTACACATACTTGTACATACTCTGAGACAATTCATTGAAGAAATGCACATGTTTAAATGTTCATATCAAATGCTATTACCAATTCTTACACACTGGGATCGTGGTCAGATCATATAGTGTGCGATAGGTTTGATTAGCTGTTGGTCTCACGATCCCCACGAGAAAAAAAAGTCAATCTAATGATCTGTAGCTCAAGGATGTTAAACATTGCCAGGGGCGGATCTAGCTTTTTGCCAGGGGGGGGGGGGGGGGGGGGGGGGTGACCCAGTGGCGGATCCAGGATTCGCCAAAAATTCCGCCGTTTTAATTTTAATTTTTTTTCTTCTTCTTTTTCACTTGGTCACCCAAGGGGGGGGGGGGGGCGTTAAACCGCCGAAACCACCCCCCCCCCCTCCTAGATCCGCCCCTGATTGCATTCTTCTTAACACATCTTTTTATTTGTTAATCCTTTCTGTTCATTCTTTTCTTTTTCATTTCTGTTATCTCCAATATGCTTTTCTCTTTTAGAAGAAAAATGTATGTACATTTATAGGTGAATGTATGGTGCTCCCCCTCTCTTTTTAATTTCTGATATCTGCAATTTGCTTACTTTTTTTCTTCTTTTTTTTAGAAGGGAAAGGACTGTACATTTTTGTGTATCTAGACAGTATATGTATGCTGCACTGCACTTGCATGCCTTGTAGTGCATAGCCTGTCTAATGCCCCTAGTTTAACCTAGCATTTTTGTTTTTTTCCATGTTGACTTCTTAGCCGCCCCTCCCTGCCAAACGGGAGAGGGGATGATCGAGCAGGTAGCATCCCACCCCCGTGTCCCTAGAAACCGATCCAGGTAATAGACGATTGACTTGATAGAAGTTTGCCGTTCAGACACTAACTAACAGAGCTCAAAGCCTCCTTTCATTTTCATCAGTTGGAGATGCATTAAAAGCCCCTCTAAAGTGTTGGGAGCCCCAAATTCGTCAAAGATTTGATGGCAAAATTGCACTTACCTGTAGATTGTATTATAACGTGAAAGAGGATGCCATTTAAGATACACTTCTCCAAAGATCCTCCCCCCCCCCAAAAAAAAAAAAAAAAAAAAAAAAAAATGTGTTTGAAGAAAAATATTGATTACACAATAAATTAATTTGGATTTTCTGTTGTATGCGGAAAACCTAAATTTTGTATTCTTTCATCAATATTCGACTTCAAACACATTTGTTTTGAAACTCGTTGCAAAAATGTGTCTTAAATGACATCCCCTTTCACATTATGATACAATTAAGTGAAATTGTGTCATCATATTTGTGGGGTTCCCAACACTTTAGAGGGGTTTTAAGTCACAAATTTCATTGTACTGTATTATTGTATTGTACATGAAGTACAGTGTATAAAAGTAATTTTGAATTCTGGTTATTATATGAAATAACATATACCTGTAAATGCACAGAGTCTGACAAAAAAAAAGATTTTGAATGTCAATAACTGCAAATTTGTTAATACCTGATCATTATTTTTTTATAAATCAAAATATGAGAAGAAAAAAAAAATATTGCTGAAAAAGAAATGAAGAGAGATAAGAAGGACATCAGGATCAGTTCCAGTTAGAAGTTATTTATAGTAAAGTTTAAAAAAATGATGAACAGCAAAAAAATTATATTTATTTTATTAACCAGAAGTCAAAATTGTTGTTTATCTAACTTCCATTTGTATTAGTTTGAAAGACTTATTATCTTAACTGATATGATGAACGAGGCTTGATAAAACTTACAATTGATGTTAATCAACCACAACTCTTTGACCAACTAATCAGGATTAAACCTTTATCTCACATTTGTTATTGAAAGGGTTAACTCTTGATTCTTTGTTTCTACAACCAATCAAAATGAGGCTTTTATTTGCTGTTTGCTTGTTAGTCAGTAACGGTTTGATTGGTTGATTGAAAACTTTTGAGCTGGAGATTATTAAAATCAATTGTAAGTTTTTATTACAGAGCTAAGATTGAGTTTTGTGTGTTTTCTGAGTTGGTACTAAAGCTGGGATTTTCATCTTTAGTTTGGTTAGGGAGAATTTCCTTTAAGTTTTGAAGTTTTCAGGTTTCTGGTTGAATAGACTTCTCTTCAATATTTCTAGTATTTATTTCTATATCATTCCATTGAGAATTTTTTAATTTTGTAGTTGGTATTTTCAGATATCTCTCGATCTCTCTCTTTCTTTACTTTCGAGTTCATATGCTGTTTTTTAAATAATTTTCTGTCCAATGATTTATTCAACACATATGGTGAACCATCATTTTTAAATGAGAAAACCAGTTCTGTTTTGCTGTTATCTTTCTTTGCTTTGTTTGCAGTTATACTTTATCACTTTTTATGGTGTTCATTTTTAAAACATTTTCCTTTCTGATTTGTTGTTTTTTGCATCATTTTTTTCTTTGCTCTCTAGTGAATTGGAGGACAACGGGTATGCTTTCTTTTACTCTCTATATCACTCCTATCTTTCCAATTGGCACTTATTTTCAGCATGCTAAATTTTGATATTTCATTAACATTAATGAGTCACAAGGCACACATAGGTAAAATTAGTGATATATACCCTTTGGACCAGTATTGTACTGAAATTCAAACTGAAGGCAGGGCTTAATAAGCTTTTGTTCGACATAAGGTTTGACAAACGATGTAATTCTTAGTGCGTTAAACGGGGTCTTAGACACAGGATCAGGTTTAACTGAATTAGTATAATACTACTACTAATTTTGTTAAATAAGATTTTTTTTTGAGAGGGGGGGGGGGGGGTGAGAGATGTGGGTTAACATAATTTTTTAAGATAAAAGGATTTATTTCATGAGTACAACATTAGTGTGCTGTTTCATTATTACTTATACTATGCAAAAAACTCTTTCAACATAGTTTGGATGATCCATTTCTTGAACTTTGTTTTAGTTGGAAAATTTATAAGTTTTAAGTTAAGATTTAGAAAAACTAAATATTTACAGCAGATATTGGGTCTTGCCCTTTACAAAGTTTCATTTGTCTGGGTTAGATTTGATCAAAATATATGAAACTTATACATTTTGCATGATTCCAGTCTTTATCAGTTAGATGAACCATGGTTCTTATAAGAGATTGTTAGTTAAAGGAATCTCCTGAATCCAAAACTGACACTGTACATGCAGTGTTTAAAGTCTTTGTAGTGACCCTGAAAACAGGCATTTAATTTAAGAAGAAAAAAGTACCGGTAAGAAGAAAAGAAAAATAATGATACAGAATGTGTAATATCTTCCAACCAAGAGATCACATCAACTTAAAAATCTTCAAAAGCAATGCTATTTCAATTCAACCTTGGTCTTCTGTTTATTGTAACACTTAAATTGACCTTGATTCTTGTAAAATTGTCTGGAAATGTTTGTTTGGAAATCAAAATTTTAGCAACACTTTCTAACCGATAAAAGCATGAATATTTACTTATCCTCTCGACCACCATAATTTGGCGTTGATGAGATAATATTAATTGTAGATAGACTAGTTTTACTAAATGTGTTCATATATATAAACCTGCCTTGTCGAAGAACCTTGATACTACTGTGTTCACCCTTTTGGGTCAGATTTTTTGTTTAGGGCTAAATTGATCACATATTGTTCGTCAAATTGGCACCAATAATATTATTCATTTATTGCTGCACTGTTGCAATAAAATGAATTGTCTCTGACAATTACACATAGGCGAGAATGTCAATATGTTGAAAAAATTCACATTTTGATCGAAAAAATAATGATTTTGAATCTTTCAACGTTTTGCCAATTTAAGGATTTTAACACTTATTTCCCATTTTTCAAAATTTCCGTCATCAAATGCAATATATTCATGAAACAAAAATAGAATGCAGTGTGTGCAGAAATTGTTGCCCTTTCTACTCTCATGCATCTGGCATTATTTTTTAGGGCTCTGAATCGAAAGGTTCTCGAGCCAAACACAAAATGTGGAATGATTGTGGCAAAAAGTTTTTAAAAAAAATTGGATTCCATTTGCCAGAATGTAGGTTGCCTACATTTATTGGTGCTATGTCAGGACAGGCATCTCACAAGCTTCAGGGCTTTAACAAATCTTCATTACAGTATAAATTTTCTTAGAATATAGATTTTGTTAACTGGTCTTTTTCCAAGTGATAACATTTCGATAGGTTGGGACTTGAAGGTTTTTACTTTCACTTTCTGTTTGAAAGCACGATGTATAGAAACCATGATGAATACATTGTGCAAGTTGGCCAACACTGCATATTAATACGTTTTCAGTGAAAATTTGACTGTCGTTAAAGGTACTATGTCCCATTTGCAGGCCAAAAAATGAAAAGGTTGAATTCCAACGGCATTTGAAAGATAGTACTAGTTTAGAACTTCCCTAAAAAAAGGGGGGGGGGGGGGCTTGAAAATGTCTTCAAGTGGGAAAATAACGACTACCGGTATTAGTTGTCGAATCAACTTAGGAGCTATAGAGCCAGTAAGTAATAGTCTGATTTTTCAGACCATTGTACCAAATGATCCTACATTATGCTGCACAAATATTCAATCAGTTTAATTTTGGCCATTACGAGAAGTGGGTTATTGATGTAGACAAATGCTCATGTACCCTTTACAGCTCATTTTATGTATGTTATTACCAAAGATGAAAAAAGGCAGTCAGTCACTCAATACTGTGTCTGACAGTGAAGTCTAGCAAGTAAACGGGTTTCCTTGCATAATTTGAATATAAGGACACTGCTAACGTTTACATTTCACAGATAGGACATACATGACATATTCATAATTCCTGCAAAGTTCTACATAATTTGAAGTTGGCTGCAAAAGGGACATAGTATCTTTAATGGTTTCTTTCAACACTGCAGACATTTTCAACTATGCACATCTGTTTTTGACACTAGTTTGATGATATTTACTAACTTGATTTGATGTGAACACACACACACACACACCCACACTCGTTTTCATTTTTGCTTTTCATTTTCACTTGGATTTTGTTTTTGCATGAGAATACATGATATGACCGAATATTGAACTTCACTTTTGTTTATGTCTTATGTATATATTGTATACTTTAGTTGGTATTAAATCTTGAACCTGTACTGTAATAATATGTTTGGAATTACAGGCAAAAACAAAGTCTTGTTTTCATTCGCTTTATATAAAATATCCTCCTGGGGTTTAGTAAATGATAAATATCCAGCAAAAAAAAATATTCTTTCTTAATATGACAAATGTACCTCATGTATATGCAGACAGTTTTTGCTGAAAGAGGAAAATATCATTATTAGATTGTAATTGTGTACAAACAAGATCATGTTGTTTTAAAGATAAAGGTGAGTTCTGGTAATAAAAAGAAAATTAATTCTCACAGAATCAAACGAAACTTACACTGAATGTTAAAGATTACAAATAAATGTCATTTTCCAAACAATTTTGGTAGAAAATGTATACTGGCTGCGTAATGAGCATAGAAAGATTAGGAAATCAAGGTTGGTAGCCCGACACCATTTGTGTAGTCCCTTATACATCTTTCTGTGTACAGTGCTTGTTACTTTACAAAGGGTGGGCCAAATTTATTATGATTTTGATGACTCCAGAACTTTGCAGTACACACCAATACTTACATGCTACATGTACATGATCAACTTTTTCTGATCCATTCCACACCTTTTCTTTCACAATGCAATCGGATGACCAGAACTCACCTTTATCTTTAAATAAGATTTTATGATTTGCTTCTCCCAGTAGCACAAAATCATCGTTAATCTGTTGACTACTGAATGAATTCATCGCCATAGGCTTAATACAGGGGTCACTGGGTCCAGTAGGCAATGGGTTACTGTTTTAGGCATGTGCTGTTTAACTTTCCCGAGTTCCCTCTGAGGTTCAGAAAAAATATAATTTCTTGCCTATGTCATACATGTAGTAACCTGTATGACTATTGAATAGTAGATTTCTTTCACACATAGTATCTCCACTGAGCTTTACAGTGAAGTGTAACACATTGTAGTATTGTACACAGTAAAATAGATCTTTGTTTGGGGTAGGGTGGTGGTGTGTATCTATATGCTCTTGTCACTTTCCTGACCCATTGGGGCAACCTCGTATCACATCCAGGTCTCACTCGGGTGCGGCTATCAGTATGCACACCCCAGGGCGACTGCCCCTGTATAGGCAAGGAGCGGTCACCACAGAGACCGGAGGAGAGTCACCAAGAGGAGGCCCTCGACCCCAGCACGGGTCTCACGCCCACCTTCAAACCTCAAAGGTTGAACAGTCGCCTGCAGAGCAAGAGCGGAATGCAGGAGAGTCGCGAAGGGCATCTGTTCCATCTCGGTTACTGCTGCCCCCTCCAAAGGGGGCAGTGCCGTCCCCCTCCAATAGCAAAACCAAGAGGAAAGCACCCCGCCCTACGGAGGAAATGACCCAAGATGCTGGTAGACGGCGATCAAAGGAGGGCACTGTTGACTCACGCAGTGCCATGGCTTACGCAGGTTCGACCCTGCCCCGGCCAAGGCTCACCAAATCTATGAATTCAGCTTTGTTGAAAGGTGCTCTGCCCCCTCCCAGCTCAGAGCCATCGGGGACAGGGGTGACTGCTCCACCCCTACCCCCTAGGAAACATCAGCGCAATCATTCTCGTTCCAGCTCGCTTGATCTTAATCTTGTGTTCCAGGACGGTAAGCGCAGTTGATATGAAACTCTTCCGATAAAATATCTGTTCCTGAGTTTTCTCCTCTTTTTGCTTCTTGTCATGGATAATTTTTTTACCATTCGAACAAAAAATAAGTAAATGCCGAAATAAATGCACCAAGGCAGCGTTATTCTTCACATATCCTTTTGTGCTATAGGAACTGACAGAATTGAATTGTTGTAATCATTTAATCAATTGATTTGATGTTTATGGTGTGTTTCATGTACTGTATGGACATCTTACATGTATGTGGTATGAAACGATTCCAAACCGTAGTGATTCACAAAATATATTGAAAGAATCAACACTGATGCTTCAACAGTTATCATTTTTTGTCATTGTGTACATGCATGTGTATAGCACAAATTGTACTGAATAATGTAATCGGACTTTGAAATGATTTTTTTTCACTTCATGTTGTCAATAAGAAATCAGAAGATTGCAGAGTAGATGATTTGATTCTATTAAATACTTTTTTTTTTGTTCCCTCAGAAAAATCAAGCGGCAGTGTTTCATCGCCCCGTCCAGTAATACCGCCCAGACCTACAGCTCAGCAAGTACAAGTAAGGTTCTACATAGTAATAATAATAATAATGAGTATTTGTAAAGCGCCATATCCATTTTGCATAAATGCCTAACAATTATTCCAACTTTAAGGGCAGCAGTGAGTGATTTCAAGTTGGGTGTTAGTGTTAGTGTTAGTCTTTAGAGCAGTCAAGAGCTCTTAAATAAAAAAAAAAAAAAAAAAAAAAAAAAAAAAAAAAAAAAAAAAAAAAAAAAAAAAAAAAAAAAAAAAAAAAAAAAAAAAAATCGAAATTGATGAAATTAAGAGCCCGATACCGATATCAATATCGATAGCCTAAGACCACCGTGGCACTGTGACATCGCCCCACAGACTTGATTTCACGACGATGATTTAAAAATACTACATTAAAACTAAAGATATGAAAAGCACAGAATAAATTTACACTTATTTCTCTGGTCTTAGAAAAATAATTAATTTTACCCCAAAGAATGTATGAATCACATAATAAAGGACCTGTTTCACATGTTTTTTTATTTGATCGTCAGACAATGAAATAGCGCTGTTCGTGCGTTGACTGTTGTGCAGGTACAACACTAACACCGAATTGGAAACAAACATTTCCCTAATCCCTAGGGGCTAGTGTTAGTGAATAGGACATTTGTACTTAAAATCAATAACACTAGCTACCGGAAGTTGACGATATTCAGAGGTCAAAGCCTCAACACCAGCTGATTTCCGTTTAGGGCTGGTGTTAGTGTTTATTAAACACTAACACCAGCCCTAAACACTCAACTTAAAATGTGTGTGTCTTGCATGCGGTTTTTCATTGAATTCGACTGCATAATGAAAGTAGTAGTGAAACCATTGCACTTATCATCCATTCAAACTAGACACCTTTATAGCCCATCAAAAGAAGGAGACAAAGAACCGTGACGTAGGATAGCTAGTGTCTTAGAGCCTTTATGAGATGGTGGCACAGTTGCAATAACTCGCATAAAGCAGACTCTCAGTCGCTGTAGGTGCTCTACTCAACAGTAGTCTTGATAGAGAATACATCATAGTCGTAGCAGATGATGCAGGAAGCTGGTTTGTGGGGAGGCAAAACTGTTATTTTACAAGTTTTTGTTACCAATACCTTGGATTGTCGGATACTGGCAAATTCTAATTATTGGATTGTAAGCTTTTCTTAAAAACCCATGGTGGCACGTGTATTCTGCCTATGGGAATGCAGTCAGCGGTTTAATACACTAGGTATAGAACTGTGTTTGCTATATGTGGTAGAGGCGTGGTCTGATAATTGTTGATTCACATGGCATGCAGTGCGAGTCCTGCCTCGACACCAATATCCTTTCGCAAGACATAAATCTACATTTGCCACTCTCCACCCAGGTGAGGTAAGTGGGTACCTGGCAGGAATTAATTCCTTGAAATGCTGGAGGGCTGTAATCATGTAATGGCAGCTAGGCTAAAGCCGTGGTAATAATAAATGTGCCTCAAAATTATTATTAAGCGCAATAGAGTATATTCAGTAGCTGCGCTATATAAATTGACCTACTATTATTATTATTATGTACATTATCATCTCTGCATGTCTACTTTGATCTTCATTTGCAGCAAAGTAAAACACTAAGCATGGACATTTCATCGACGGAACACGACTTTGCCGATTTCAGCAAGTTTGAAGCCAAGAAGGCGAAGTCGGCGAGTTTGAAGCTGGACAGGCGAGTCGTGTCGTTAGACTACAACAACAGAATGGTGAGTGTGCCCAAGATCAAGAGATTACTTCCGATATCGACTGAATACAGATGATATTTAGTTGTCTGGTATTTTGGGGGTATATTCAGACAAATAATAAGTGTCATCAAGCAAAGCAATGGTGTTATCAGCCCTGAGTGATAATAGAAAAAAGGATTTATAAATAAGGATATATATATATGGCCTTATACATGTATGTTATGGGTTCCATATTGCTACACTACAGTACATTCCATTTTAAGGAGCTTCAGATATTTCTTTGATAAATATGTATTGCAAGTTTAGATACGCTTCCGTATCACTATACTACATTCAATTAATGGGCTTCAAATATTTCTTTGATACAGATGTATTGCAAGTTTAAAAACTCTCCCGACCTGTGAGTAGAATCCATGCACTCGTACAGATCACAAAGAATAGAACCCGCACAGAACCCAAATCTGACTTGGTTATGGTACATGGTTTTATGTAGTCTCTTTATTTTTATCGTACTCCTCATCCTTTAGCCCATAGAATGCCAGATAAAGAGGTTGATTTTATACGTTCTAGCTGTGCTTACAAATTATTCTGAGGTGATTGGTACATTTAAAATCAACTAATATTCGTTGTTCTCTGGTCTTACAGACGGAGCCGACATTCGCCCCCGTTCCTCCTCCAAGGCCATCGGCTAGTGAAGAGGATCTGGTAGAAGAGCAAGACGGAAAGGTAAAGGAAACATTTCTTGATACGGAAAGCTTTTTTCTTACGTTAGGGTAATCATAAGGCCAAATAACAAACATGAAGTGTTTCTCGTCCCGCGGGCCTCCTTTTTAGCCGCCCCCCAAAAAAAACAAAGCCAAAAAAGCTACCCCCACAAAAAAAAGCCTGTAATAAACATTTTGTTTAAATAGCTTCTAAAGTGATACAAATCATTTGTTTCGTCATACATTGCACCAGTATACTCACATAGCACAATATCTGTGAATAAATAGGCATGGCCAGCTATAATTAGCATGGCAGCCATCTTGGAAAAAATAGCAAATATTTGCAAAATAGTAAATAGTAATGCCCTGCCTACTCCTTTTTTTTTTAAAGGCTGGACGAGAAACACACTATTTTTGTTATTTGGCCTAACATGAAGTTTAAGTTCTTCCTTAAATATAACCTTAAAATATGGTAGGCAAGCTTTCGCCCACTCCTGTGTACTTTGTCAAGCTAAGGGATTATTCATGGAGCGAAGATAGGTGACAATGCTCAGCCAGAGTCCTTAACAAAAAATTGTGTGTTGCGACTTCAGGGTAGGGGACGAGACAACGCTTGGTGTTTGCCTTGTTTTCTCCTGTAGCGTTATGAATAATTTAGTTGTTGACTGTATGCGTACACCATTGGGTAATTCTGCGCAAGGTGTCTTATACCGTTAAATCATTTTCAATTTATTTTTTCAAGAAATTAATAATATCTTGATATGACCATTTGATAATGTTAGCGATACCAAAAAGAACCGTTTTTAGTCATATCACAAGATTTGTCATTTTTGGATTAAGTAAAGGGATAAATGTCATATTGCATATTGAGCACATTAAATGGAATAGGCCATATTTGCAATGTAATAAAAAATTTAATGCACAAATCTTAGTTACATGCCTCGTTGAAAATTATTCCATTCACCTGTTATGAAGAATAGTATTTCGATAGTCAGAATGTGAATTGCAGACATTCCGTGTTGCTGGGTAGGACAAGCCATAATGTTTGTCCTACCTAGCAACAATAAATGTATGGAATTTGCATTCTGACTATTGA